AGATACTAGAATACAGAGGATGCAATGAAATTGACACATTAATTGAATGGACAGCACTGAAGAAAATAGTTCGAAAAATAGAACAGACAGAAGGCCAATCCCTGAAATATCTTGATATCTGGCAAAGAGTGATGTTGGTGTTTGGAGACAATTATAAGTGTATTCTCATGCTTGTCAAGATAGTTCTTCTCATACCATGTAGTACAGCAGTATGTGAACGCGGATTTTCACTAATGTCAGTAATTAAAAAGTGACTGGCGAAGCAGGCTTCAACCTGAAACCTTAACAGCATTAATGGCAATCAATTTATGTGATGATGAACTTGACACATTTGTTCCTGACAATGCAATTGACTTGTGGTTTCAAGATAGCAAAACAAGCAGAAGACCCCATACAAGACGATATGGATCTCGGGTACCAGAAAATGAGGCTGCATGGTCTGATGACGACAATCTTATAAAGAAACTTTAAACTTTATTAAAACTTTAAAAGTGGTGCATTTCACAACAAGTTGGTGCAGGTAAATTTCAAATTCAACATGCACACTGTGCATGCAGGTAAAAAATTCTATTTCAATCCCTGTTTGCCTAGATGCACTTTTAATAGGTTGTTAATTCTTGTTGTACAAGTTGTCTTTTAGGTTTGGCTCATTTAAAGTTGGTACAAAAAGGAGTTATAAGGGAATACATACGCACGTTGATTTGTTTTTCAATTTGTCAACATTTGACTGACTGGTAGACATTCATGTCTTGAAAATTAACATGTGAATATTTCCATGACTTGTCGGTTGTAATGTTTTCTCACTGTCAATTTAAATGCAGAAAATACTCCAGAAGCAGATGCCACACATGTGCTGTTAACCCCCATGGAAGCAAATTCAAATCATACAGAGAAGTCAAAGAAGGAAGAAGATAAAGATGATAACGAAGATGAAGATGAAAAAACAGTAGATGGTAATGTTGAGATGAAAAGTAATGGACCCTTAAATAAATCTAATGATATAAACCCAGTATAAAAAAAAATGCATTTGGAACAATGAAAGATGTTTGAATGGTTCTGCCAATTGCCATTGTCTTGTAACATTTCAGTCTATATTTTTCATACTTCTCTACAGAGATACCTTAAAATCATGACTTGAAAATTTTTGTATGATTGCATACATGTTTTGTTTGGAAGTTGGATTTTTAAAATGTTGTTGTTGACAACGCAAATGTGCAAATAAACAAAGACGTGATGATCTTTTTATTCTATCTTCCAAATAATCTTTGCAACTGTGATGGGTACTGATTGTATTTTTGCATCATTTTAATAATGTATATAATGTAAATATTTATATATAACGCTATGTGCATGGTGTGTATTTAATGCAATTGAGTATCAGAGGGTGATTTGTAGATCAAAGCGCTTGGATGATCTGTAAACAGTATTTTAAATACTGTGAAAGGCATTTGTTTCTCTTAAGGAGACAACTATGCGAGTTGTGGGAGTTTTTTCATATACTTTTAGTTTTGTATCATACTGAGAAATTCCTATAATATCTAGTAAGAGACTCAAAAGTCTGGGATCACAAACTATATTTGGGGGCTGGGTGATATTGGTGTCAGTGACTATTTTTTTTTGTCTCAATGAATGCTGCTATAGTTTGCGGTAGTTAAAATGCAAGAATAGCCCCACACCCTGTATATTTTATTTACAAACTTTATTGTATACAGCCAAATTTGACTCAATTATGCTGCATAATTAATTCGCCTTACTATATGTATGAGGAACTCATAGAGGCTGCACACTGCATGTAAACGCATATTACTTGACTTCCAGATCATCCAGCACATCATATCCTTCTACTATTAATAACATAAATGTTTCCACCAAATTTCTGGTACAACATTTTCAATGCATTTTTCTTTAATTTTGAATGAAATTGGCATAATTACACATGTACCTCTTTGTAAATTTACAATGAATTGAATATGAAAATGAGTACCTTAAAATCTGTATTATAAGCCGCATCTCTAATATACAAGTCGCACCCATTCTTTTTGAAGAATTGAGAACCAAAAATTCATCATTTCTCATACATGTAGATGCTCTAATAGAAGCCGCATCCCCTCTGTTGCATTGTGCCATTTTGATAGAAGCCGCAGCTTCTAATACAGATTTTACAGTAATATCTGGTTTATATTATGAAAAGTGAGAAAAGGTTAATGTTTACATGTTTATGTGAACTAAATGTTTAAATCAGAAACATTAATTTCAGCTGAAATACATGTAGAGGGTGTCGCTGTAGAATTTCTGATGCGTCTGTAAAGAGTACTGAACTTTCAAATAATCTTTTTAGTCTTATTTTATAGTTAGATTCATTTTTTGTTTTCTTCGTACTCAGTTTTATATTAGTATACACTATTGTCACTATTTTACTTTCTTTTAATTTAAATTTTTTTATAAAAAGTATAAAAACTCTATTTCTTTACATTTACAGGGACATTAAATATGAAAATTTACACTTTTGTCTCCTACATTTGGTCTAGTATCTGGGTATACAAATAATATTTTCTGTACCTGTTAAGTTTTGCGATTCAGACAGTTATGAATTTTGTTGTGGATTTTTAAGAGAGGTGATGAGAGTAGTTACCATTAGGTGGAGTATTCAATGATTTTATAAAGAATACAGAAACAGCTCGGAAAGGAATTAAAAAATGATGTAAATTTTCAGTGGGTTTCTTTTGTAGGCAGGCAGTGGTGTTTCCAGGAATCTCTCAAATTGCGACAAGGTGAATTTACATCTTTCAATTAGACTCAAAATTCTGCTTAAAATATTGTAAAAATGAAGAAAATGAAATAATGCTCACAGCAACATTTAATATCTCAGGGCCAGAAACAAGTCATTTTTAGCCTAATTTACATTTTATTTTGACCCAACTACTTTCAATATGTACAAACTGTCATATTGTTTGTATCTCGGGATAAACCAATCTCGAGATGGTTTAAATACAAACTGTATAATGTACATGTATAATAGTTATGAATGGCTGATCTAAATGTGTTGATGATCCTTCCAATCACTGTGGTTGCTCTATTGGAAGCACAACTATAAAATGCATGCATAAACCAGACTGTATAACCAACCAAACATGTCATTGTACACTGGATCATTAAAGTATGTCTTATTTTTACCTCATACACACCTCTGTTGTTTGCATGTGCTATTACCGTTTTATGAATGATACTATTGACATTATTTTGAAACTGGAACTCGGTGAAATGTGATGCAATATACACTGTAATTTTCTGTATTTTAGCTTACATTTGTCTTGTCATTCTAAAAAGACAATATTAACAATTATAATTTCCCCGAAGATGGCACTACTACATTGAAATACTCAAACTACTAAAAACTGTGTTCAATTTTGCTAGCGAGAGAAAGTGTGACAACATCTTTGTGAAAATACGTCCTTATTCTGAAAATAAATATTTAACTACTGGTATTCCAGTACCATTGCTGCCTTGTAGCCATCTACGTTGTATATTAAGAGATGGTATTTCCAAAATGATTGCAACAAGCAATGTATTTTAACTACTGACAATTTTTGGTGCTAATCCTTCACTTGAAATTGATACAAGGGTAAAAAAAAGTAATCTGCATGCAGCATATGTTAATGTATAATCATAGTCTATTTAATGTATTTGGAGTGAAAAAGGGGATTTTATTTTCAGGATTTGGTTTGCCATGGCTTATTTCTATGTTTTGGATTTAATTGGCTGTTTCTATCATTTGGGATGCAATCGCTTGTTTCTATGAGTCGGGATCAGGGGTAGGATGATTTGGATAAAAACAAAATGCATGTTCAGCTCTGCTTTCTATATAAAATAAGGCTGTAAATGATGTTTGAAATGTGTATTAAAAATCAATAAAGTGGATATTGATATGTCCTCACTAGAAAGTTGAAACTCTTGTCATTTGTAATTACTGCTACATGTACTGGTATGCTGTAAGTCGTACCTGTCCCTTGTGGCGTTTCACAAGCTGTGCTGTTGTGGAAGATGACCAAGCAGATCTGTTCATGTAGATGATTATCTATTCAACGTCTGCAGCAATTTTTATATAAATCACTTCTTTAAAAATACCACCTAGACTATTTGATATGCAAGTACTGAGGGTGGATGTTTGTCAGATTTGCTCGTTGGTGATGATACCGGGGTATTAACTTAATTCTCTATTGTTTTGATGTGCATGTGCCTTTTGTGGACACATAAGATTTTTTTTTTTATTTTGTGATGTATTCAATTTTAGGTGAAAAAAAAAAAAATATTTTTGACTTCTCGAAAATTAACTACCCGGTACCTCGATAGTTAATATGTAGGTACCGTACATTGGGTTGACAGGTCAGGTTTTGCCACTTTTCTCTATTTTTAGCTAATGCCATTTTCGGCAAAAAAAAGAGAAGATACTTTATGTGACTGGAGCATTATGATTGCCAGCCTGTTGGCTTGATGTGTGAATAATTTTGGTCTGAAAATACATGTGCATATTGTAATATTATAATGTCAAAAGATCGATGTCGGATAAACAACATATTTGCTTTAGTTTGGGGGTGGGGGGTTTTGACCTCAAAAAGTTTCCATCCTACAAAAACGATTGTATTTTTTAATGAAGACAAAAAAATCTTGGAGTATTTGTAGTTCGTTTATTTTCTATCCAACCATGGACAAAAAAAAAACAGAAAATGAAAGAAAAACACCCAAGACGAGAAAATGATTTGGTCCGAATGTAGTCTTTTTACAACCACTTGACAACCAACTGCTATGCCATACTACAGTCCGATTATCAATTTGTATTTAATGGTGACTGTAGTCTGACGCCATGGTCAATATTTATTAAGTTTCAGTGGGGGGGGGGGGACTAAAGGAGTTTTTTTATCCTACATTGAACTTTTGTTGTTGTCCCTTAAATGCCAGTCATGTTATCAGTATTGTCTGCCAAATTATTCACTTTTTGACTTACCACTTTTGTTTCTTGGTATTACCAGTAGAATACTATTACGTCATGGAAGGAAATATTAAGCACATATTAGGCCATGCAATATGTGTTTTATAACACATTACACGTTCATACTCAGAACGTGCATAGATCGTCTGCCGTTTTCTCGATGTCTGCTAGCGGTGTCCCGATTTCTTCACAAAACGATGTAAAGACGCTTCTAGAAAACCTGATTGCGTCCTTCGTCTTCGGTGCATCTTTATTTTCTTCTAGTGTGCCAAGTTCTTATGAAAAGCTAAATCGTCCAGTCTTTCGAGGCAGACCATCGATTTCAGCGACCGAACTAGCAGACGACATATTGGAAATCACACGATCAGGTGATGAGTGACGCCATCCCCGTGATCCTGTTTTGACCAATTACAGTATAGTATTAACGAGTGAAGTTATAAATGTATCTACATTGTATGTCCTTCAGAAACTGCACAACTGGCGACAAATATTCATTCCATGGTCGTAACGCCAAAACAACCTTCCCAAATAAAAATCCTGTGATCCCTGGTTAATTTTGATCAAACTACATGTACACCCCTCGCAGTTTTGTTTGCACTGGCGGCGGCAGAGGGGGCAATCGAAAAAAATGTTGAGGGCATCGCCCCTCCCAAATCAAGCTGAAACCTTTTCTGTCAGCAAAATTTGCCCACAAAATGCAGGAAATAGCTTTTCAGAGTGTCTATATTTAAAAATTGTTAAGGGGGAGCATGCCCTGGCCTTTTAGTGAGGTCGCGCCTTCGGCGCAAGGTTGGTGAGCAGATCTGGCCCTCATGCAAATTTTCGTGCCGCCGCCTCTATTTTGTTGAGTTGGTTTCAGAAATGTTTCATATATAGCACTGTTCTGCAGCCGCTCTTTAATTGTGAAATCAAAAACCATAAACAGTTTATAAAAAGCACACAGTAAATCTAACGTACAAAATCAGAAGTCTGCGTGTTCGAATCACATCGGGGTCAGTAGTTTCTGTTTTGTAGAGTCACTCTTAATGTATGCTAATACTAGTACAATGTATATAGGGGAGAAATGTGTTAATTCTATGTCGGATTTAGCAAAGGATTGTGGGATAAAAATTGAACTCATCTAAAACCATTTATTTTTACTATTCTGATGTTTTGAGCTTATTCACTGTATTTAATTCCACGATTTGTTCAAGGAAACTATGTCATTACAAATGTATTTAGGGAAATGATATAAAAAATTTGGGAAACTCACCTTTTTCCTTTTATTACACATGAATATCTTGCACACATACTGTCACATGTCACATCGTAGTGACGAGGTGTATTAACGGTTTAAAAACATGAAGTGGGAAAAGCTGAAAACGATTTTGAACAGAACCGAAACTTCACATTTCACACGCAATGGCTTGCAAAGACAAACTATTACTGACCCGGGCAACATTTTGTATGTTCAATAATGGGTTATAGCAACATATAAGTAACAGCTATTCGCATTCAAGGAATTCGTTAGACGATATATCTATATTAATTAAATCATTATTTTAAATAGGCTTGATTGAATGGCATCCGAGTGGAATTATCATATGCTTGCTGAATAGCGCGGGAAAAAGGACTACTTTTTCTTTCGCAGAATCGCGAAAACCTAAAAAGGGTAATTTTTTAAAACTAACTTCACGAAATACATAACAATTTCCACTTGAATTAAACACACCGAAAAACAGTGTATCCTCCTGATGTTTCTCTAAAATAAGGGTGTTTTACAACAATATTCTATTTGCATACGTGTTGATTGTGCATATACTGTCTGTCATTGAAATTCAAATTAATACTGAATTCATACATCAACTGTGTTTTAAAAACTGCATATGTCACTCATCACTTCAGTCAGTAATCAATCAGTAATTAAAATGCCACTCGTTACATCAATTCTAATACATTCTGATATATATACTAAGTGAATAAATAAATAAATTTACAAATACAATATTTGTACTTCCTTTATTTGAAAAAAAAATGCGACATCGAACATACTGACTAAATTTGAAATATTTATACACATGTTGACTGACTGTGATTTAATTCTTGGGTATACATTGAGTTTCACATTTCGTGCGTAACTCCCATTCCCATTCCTCCTCTTGATTTTGTTAAGGTTGCACGCAGGTACACAAATTCGTTGACATCTTCAACAACTTCGCCATTGATGTAAATTCTGTCAACATTTCTTGCATTAATTCTCATTACTTTTGTCTTCTGGGAATTCACTTTTAGACCAACTCGTTGAGCTTCTGTAAAAATCCTGTCAGTTTTTTGTTGGATATGTTGTTTTGTAGGTAGGAGGTAATAAATTTGGAGCGAAAGTATTCAAAAATCAGTTTTTGGCTGTTGCAATGGCAGTGGTGGGCCAGGATTTTTTTCCAATCAGTAACGGTACGACCTACCTGTCAACTATTCACTTTTGAGATTTTGATGATTTGGTTCTTGGATAGTTCAGCTTCGTCGTCCTGTACTTCATTTAGTAATTCGAACTTCCCAGATTGTGTTAAAACGGAGAATTGCTTTGCCTTGGCTTAATTGTTTGCCGAGGAACGGCCGCTTAGGTACGTGCTCTGTAACTTGCAGCACATGAACCTAAAAACGTTATGTAATCAAAATCACAAGAAGTTGACTATCCCTGATACGGCTATTGCTAAATCGCCAGCTGTGAACTTTATCAGGATTCACATATAAGGTTACACATCATTCTAGCAAGGAAAAATATTGATTAATTTTGTGCAGCTTATGTAATGAAATAATTAATATTTCATTTTAGGTAGTGTATCTTTAATTTTATTTATTAAAACATGTATACATTATAACTAATTGGGGTGGGAATTGCCAAGCAAATTTATAAAATTATAAACAAATATTTTCGTAAATAACACTGACCGTGAAATACGCCCTTGAGAAGTGTTACTGACGGAATATTTTATATTGCAATTTCTTTCAATTTTAATTAGTTGTATTGCAACGCATTAGTAATAATGTAAATATATATATACTTTTCTTTATTTCATTGTTGAGACTGAGTTATATATTTGTTACGTACTATAATTTATCTATATTGGAAAACGGTTATGGGGATTATTAATTTTAATAAACAATATTCAACTATCCTTTGCAACACCAATAAGATCATAATGATAATGTAATGTAAGCATGGGTTTTATTTTGGAACTCCTGCCAGAGCAACTGTACAAACCATAAAGGCAAATTAATAGCTTCTAAGGACGGTATTCCCAGAATAGCGCAAGTTGTTAAAGAAACATGAAACTTTAATTCTCAACAACGATGAAAGGACCAGTTACTGCAAAAAAGCCCTATTCCCCGGCCCGCAAGACCCACCCAATACGAAACCCACTTAACGCGAAAGCCACTTACCGCAAAGCGGTTAGTAAATATTAACAAATAATTGTTCTCTCTAGCTCCAAACGTAACACATTAACAATGACTCCGTGGCGCAACGGTAGCGCGTCTGACTCCAGATCAGAAGGCTGCGTGTTCGAATCACGTCGGGGTCAGTGGTTACATCTTTTTTTAAATATTATATTTCTCTCGGGAATTTAACAACAAGGTTCAAGTAGATGCTGGGGAAACCATTGTTTATGTTTTGGAGACAACAGCGCCTGTTCAGCACATCTTTTATGCATTTGGTTGTATATATATTATATTGTACAATGGAACTATGAACAAAAACGAATTTATAATTTATTTAGCTGGAAATAATCTTTGCTGAAAAAACAGTTTGACTGTTATGAAGCTTATTTTCATTAATTGTTAAAAGTAAAAGGGGTATTTTCATTGGATTTTGCTTTTCACTGATTCATCCTACAGCTAAAATAAAAAACAAGTGAAAATAAAAGACCAAATTATTGTTTCCTGGTGCAACTTCCCCGTAAACCGTAGGTAAAAACAATAGAAG